CAATTGTGTCTGACACTTAATTGACTTCTACTACTGGAGAAAAAATGATTTTGTTCAGACGACAAGAAAATCTTATTTTAAAAAATTCAAATTTACAATCTGTGACAATTTCAAATTAAATGCAAAAATATTTAATAGGATCATAAATAAATGCTGAATAAAATTTGTTCTGCCCAAAGAAATAAAAAAAACTCGAAGCGACAATTACGAGCAATTAGAAAATTAAAAACGAAACAGACATTTAAAATTAACTCTTAATTACATACACACGTTAGAATATTAATTTAGAAAACCCTCAGAGAGATTTCATATAAAAGTCAAAAAGTGACATGCGAAATTTATAAGCCGCGACCGCTCAACAGCACGTCGCACTTGAAGAGGATCGCGTCAGAAACAATTTACCAGGAAATAGATTAAGAGAATATATAAAAGGGCAATTGGTGTTTATACCAAGAATAGAAGTACCACGCGGTAAATGACAGAATAATTAAATACAATTCGGTTTATTCATAGTTATATAGAGAAGGATGCTCCTGTTAATGTTCGCCTATATATATAAACGTCTATCACGCGATGCCATATATAAATTAATATGCCAGTCCGGAGACCTTCTTCTTCTTTTTTTTCTTTTTCTTTTTCTTTTCTCATCTGAAAATTATTCCTTCCTATCGCATGGTGACTCTGCCGTCATTCTTGTTCGAGCTTTCAGTGTATGCAGACGAGAATACAAGTACAAAGAGACGTGGAAAGGAAAGAAAAATGAATAAAACAAGTGGCATATACCCTTCGGCACCTTATTTCTGTTTGGCACTTTTTCTTCCCTATAACCAACAACCATCAATCATACCTTGATCGACCAAGTATTTATTAAAAAATTGAAGAAAAAATCAAAAAAATATACCCAACAACCCGCGGGTAGAGAATGTCAATGAAAATTAAAGAAGCCCTTATGAACACAGGATATAATTTTGTTTTCGATTTAAGAGTGTCTTTTCGTATAATTTAATTCTACGAAATTTATTTATTATTTGATTTATGTGAAAATTTCTGTAAAGTGTTGAATTATGAAGATTGTCATGAATTTAACCGGTGTCTGTTGTATGTCTTAGTGTCCAGGCTTGTCAGTCTGCTATTGACCTTTAATTTTCTGTTAATTAACTTGTTCTATAATTATTCACTTTTTATTTTCGATAATAATCTCAGGTCTTTGAATTATTCATATCTTTCAGCAAATTTTTTCTTCTTTTTTAGAATTTATAGGTATTCTTTTCTAGACTTTTAAAAATACTTTTTTCTTTTCTATACTTTAAAAAATACTTTTTTCATTCGTACACTGAGACAAAATTTATTTGATTCAAATAACCGATTATTTCACAGTTTTTCTGCAGATGTCAAATTGAGACAAAAAACTTATCAAAAGTGTCAAAAATTATTTTTTTTTTTGTCTCAATTTGATATCTGCAGAAAAACTCTGTTGTCAATTATAAAATAAACATTTACTTGAATCGAATAAATAAAATAGTAATAAACCAATGTTCGAATTGTCATTCATACAATTTAACTAGAAAAAGACAAGTACGATTCAAAATTCACATTGAAAGAGAAAATAAAAACAAATTTTCAACTAATCCATCAAAAACCCTAGAAAATAATTAAAAAGACTCCTGCATTTTTTTTCCTCAACAATTTGAAATTTATCGCCCACGTTGAATCTCTAGGAAAAAAGCGATGAAATCGGGACCTCGCGCAAAAAAGAAAACCGAAAGTAATAAAGTAATAAACTAAGAAGTATATCTCGAGTAATAAATCATTTAAAGATCCCTTGTGCTGAAAGTGGAGTATACATACTTTGAAAATGCGTATAGTATTGAGAGACTGTGCACGAAAAAAAGATGCTAATTACAGTTTATTTTCTACCATGGATTATGAGATAATTTTACAGACTGGTAAATACATAGCATTATGTCACGGTATAAGTTTCATTTTTTTCAATCGTTTGCTTTGTAACTCTCGTAAAACTTATGCGGTTAAAGGAGAACAATTTTTTAGAGCATAATATTTTATTGCCCAATAAAAAATAATTTCTAAAATATTCTCATAATATACAAGGGGAAAAAAATGAAGATTTCAATGAATTTACGATAGGTAATTAGTAATTTTTTTTTTGTTTTTAATTTCTCAATATTTATTTTGTTGAGAGTTTATTTATTATATATTTACCATAGAGGTAAAGCATAAATCATCTCGAGAGATATTTTTTATTCTTTTCATGATTTATCATTGAAACTTGAATTCCACGTCATTCTAGAGAGACGTGTGGAAAAAATCAATAAATTAATCGTTTAGGAATAATAAAAGTTTGAAGATTAATTGTTTTTCTAAATCATGGTTGCAACAAAAATTTCATTTCGATGTTCTCTGACTTTTCTTTGATTTACAAATTGAATTTTAACTTTTTGTCTGATTCCTATAAATAAATTGAAGAAGAGTTCTTTTCTAAGAAACTAAAAACGATAATTTTTAAATGTAATTCTTTCAAAGTTAATTTTAATTTTACCCTTTGATACAGATTTTTACACTAATGAACATATGAATATATAGATTCGATTCTGTCTCTTTGGAAAATTCAATTATTTATCAATTATTAAATTAAAATTATTTTCAATTCAATTTCAGAAAATTTCAATTAATTTATAATTATAATTTTTTAAATAAAATTTTTCTAAAAGTTTAAATATTCTTTAGAAAAATCAATTACTTTAAAAAATTCTAATAAAATTCTCCAAAACATGAGATTTATTTCAAAAAAATTTGACAAAATGTACAATTTTATTGTTAGAAATTTTTCAATATAATTACTTTCGGAAATTTAATTATTTTGAAAAACGTAATTTTTATTAAATTTCTGAATTATTATTCAAAACTTCAATAAGCTTGTTAAATAAATATTTAATTTCAAATCTTCTGAACTTTCATTACTTTTAAAAATTGCAACTGTTATTTTTTTCTAAATTTAATTATTTTTTAGAGTTTTTAACAAAAATTACTCAAACGTTAAATAATTTTTTAAATTCAAATTTAAATAAACTCAAAATTTAAAAAAATAAATAAAAAATAAATTTCAATTTAATTAAATTTGAAATTACATTTGTAAAATTATTGAATAGGGTAGATGTACCACTTTTGGCCACTGCTCCAGTTTTGGTCATTTTTATAAAATTTTTATTTAATTATTTTTTATTAATGAATATTTCTCATTATAATATTACAGTACTACATGATTTTATGTATTTCCTTAAGTAAAAAACTTCATTAAACTTAAATATAAATAATTACAATGAATATTAACTAGTGGCCAAAACTGGCGTTAAAGTGGCCAAAACTGGTGCTTCTACCCTAATTGAGTAATTTTATTTGAAAATTCTAGGAAATAAAATTTCAAAATTGAATTATTTTCATAAATAATAAAATTTTTACAAAAACTCAATTATTTGAAATTCAATTTTCATAAAATATTTTGAATGAAATTAATTATTTAAAAAAGTTTTTATGAAATTCTCCGAAAGAAATTATTTTTAATAATTTAGTTAAAATTTATTCATAAGAATTCATCTATTTTGAAAACAATTGTAATTTAATTCTTCCCAAGAATTCAATTGTTTTATAAATAATGAAATTTTTCCCAAGAATTCAATTATTTTCATAAATAATTAAATTTTTCCTATAAGAATTCAATTATTTTCATTATTATTAAAATTCTTTGCAAGATTTCAATTATTTTTAATACAATTTTTAAAAATTTCTCAAAGAACCTTTTACAATTTAATCATTTTTAAAAATTGTTTCTATAACTTCTCCAAAAGTAAATTATTTTCTGTAATTTTCAATTAAAAATTTCTCTATTTAAATTTTTTAAAATAATTTTAAGATAGTTTTTTGAATATTCAATTGTTGAAATAGAAAAATTGAATTCTTTTTATTAAAATTTCAACTGTAACTCTTAATGTTTTCTCAAAATTTTTTATTGTGAAAAAGTAAATTCAAGACCAGTATAATGTTTCAAATATTTTCAAAGACCACCAAGAACTAGAATTTTTGCAAAACAATTTAAGACCCTTTAGAGAAGAAAAATCAATTTATGCCAATAGCAAAAGTGGTATTTTTTTTTGCAATTTGTGAAAGAAAATTTGAAATAATCGAATTTTATTAAAGTCATAAAAGTTGCATTTTTAAAAAATAATTGAAAAAAGTCATAATATCCGAGACATGGATATTTTTCCAGTTCACACTTTTGATAAGATTCCCTGATAATATATCGAAATCTCATAAAGAATTTTAATAAAGTTTTTAAGAATAATTACATTTCTCGAGGAATTCGATTAAAATTGTATGAAAAATAATTGAAATTTTGCAATGAGTTTTAGTATTCATGAAAATAATTGAATTTTGAAGAACAATTTTGATATTTAAAAAGATAATTGAAATCTTAATGCGAAATTTTTAGTTATTTCAATTAATGCTTTTACTATTTTAGAGAAACTTTTTTCCCGTGTAATTTAATTTTCCCTGACATTTCTGATTTGCCTGATCCTGTGGAAACCCTGTAAATGTTGAACTTTTACGAATGAAGCAAAAAGAAAAAAAAAATTTCTGAATGCAATGTATAGTATAACAGGAAAAAGGAAAGAAGTTTCAACGTTGATTTCCGGTGAGAATGTGGGCTGAGATAATTTTCGCTGATGTAAAATTGCTCCTATCATCTAATCTCCTTACTTCTCTTTTGTCACTTTCAGTTGAGACAAATTGTTAATCAGAGGCAGAATAAGAATAATAAATAAACAAAAAAGAATAAAACTAAATAAAATATAACAAGTAGATTTGAATTTAATGGTGTTTCTCGCGCACACGACACACATAAACCGTTTCGCGTTAATTAATTTTAATGAATCTTTATTCGCCGTGATGAAACTATCTGATGATTGTCCTTGTTTGTATTTCAGGTTGTGCCTTCTCGGAATGACTTTGATCAGCGGAATCGCTGTTGTTTCCGGTAACGAGGACTCATCCGTCTTCAAGACGGTTCGCAATAGTAATGCCGCCATATTAAATCGACTGGGTCTTGTACCGCTGGAAATTCCAGATGGTCATCACAAGAAGAGGCTAGCCGGCCCTGAGCCACCCGCTTTTGGCGCTCAGTCCCGCATCCACCAACCTTACAGTCGACGTCATGGACATCGTGACAGTCACGTTTACATCGTTAAACTACCGGCGAGTCCGCCTTATTACACCTTCACTAAACCACACAAGTCAGTGAAGGATGACAACAAAATTCAAAAGAACCTCGCCAGTTCCGTCGGTTTTCACAGCAATGGCAAGCCGGGCAAAATCTACCACTGGAATCTCCCCCTCATGATGAAAATCGCCGAGAAGAAACGCTACCAATCCCAAATGAAAATGGACCAATTCAAAAAGAAGATGCAACTGGAGAACGAGAAACAAAAGACCGACAGCGAAATAATCAAGATCAACAGCAACGACATCAATGCAATCCAGGCGATAAGCAATGTCAAAACCAACATCAACGACATTGACCGCAAACAGAATTTCAATAACGGTAAATACTTCCACTCAACCGACAATAGATTAATGTATGGCTCGAAACCATCGATTAGTCTACAGAAGCACAGTCGGAACAATGACAAGAGATTAAGTTATCCAATAAGTCTCGAGGTGGGCTCGAAGAAGATCAAGGAAGCGGAGGGCTACAAAACGAAGAACAGCACCAATAAGATGTTCAGGTTGGCGGACTCGGCAACGTACCGAGTGGGAGTCAACGCGAACGATCGCTTCTTGGCTTGGAACAATCTGTCCAATGAACTTCATGGTTCGAGGAACACGCCCGACGAACAGAAGCCGAAGAAGCACCGGAAGAAGGCGGCCATGTCCTACTACGCACCTCTCAGTCCCAAGTCTGGCTCGACCAGCATCCACAAGAACTTCCCTGGCAACGGGAAACCAAAGGCCTTTTATGTCATGGAAAAGAGTCGCAAGCCTATTTATTATCATCAACTCTTGCCTTAAAAATCCCCCCCCCCCCACACACCCTGCCAAATTTTTTAATCATCAAGTAATTAGAAATTAATTTACTGCAAACTTCTATCGAAAACCGAAAATAAATTTTCGCCATTTTCTTTGTTTTACTGAAGAACTTCACAATTTTTCTAACTCTCTAAATTTGAATTAGTAAAGATGTTTACTAGTTTGAATTAGTGACTGACTTTTTTCTTTTGAATTAATAAATCTTATACTAATAAATAGTAATCTCTACTAATTTATTATTAAATTAGTAAATTTTACTAATAAACAGTAATTTCTACTAATTTATTATTGAATTAGTAAGTTTCACTAATAAATAGTAATTTCTACTAAATTATTACTAAAGTTTACTAATTCAAAAACAAAAAGTCAGTCAATAATTCAAATAAGTAAACATTTTTACTAATTCAAATTTCGAGAGAAGGATATCAAATTGAGACAAAAAACGTATCAAAATTATTGCATGGCAACTATTTTGATACGTTTTTTGTCTCAATTTGATATCTGCAGAAAAACTAATTTTTAGAAGAGTACAAAAATCTTATTTTGAGGCAGCAAAGAAATCTTAAATTAAGATGCAACATTTTTAAGACATCCAGTGCTGAATTTACGCAACAAATTATACATTGAAGCAAACTCAGGGTTGCCACAAAAATTTAATTTTGATTTTCTCTTGATTTACAGACAGAATTAAAAAATTCTACGAGATTTCAATTATTTAAATTTAAAAGTAAATAAATTATTGAATAATTAAATTTTATCCTCATATTTTTAAATAATTGAATTCTTTTGAAGAATTTTAATAAAATTCTTAAGAATAAGCAATTTATCGAGGAATTCCATTAGAATTCTATGAAAAATAATTGAAATTTTGCTATGAGTTTTATTATTTATGAAAATAATTGAATCCCTGCAAAAATTTTATTAAGATTTTTGAAAAATAATTGAAATTTTAACAAGAATTTAAAAAAATTTTTGAAAATAATTGAATTTTGAAGAACAATTTTATTACTTTTAATAATAATTCAATTTCTGTAAAAATTGTAGGGGAGAGTCTCCAGTTGTGAGACACCTCCAGTTGTGAGACAGTCAATTTTTTTTAACATGCAATATTAAAAAGCCGATTGGTTTATATAAAAACATTTCTTTTTATATGAGCCAACTTTTTCGTGTACGCCGAAGCGGATATATAAACTGTTTTTGTTAAATACCAACACTGTGTGTGATAATCGACTCAAAAGCGTTTTTTCAATAAATGCAAAGTACTTTTTTTCCAAGTTAATTAATTGGAAAAGGTAAATGTAATGCATTTTCTTTTAGTGTTTTCCTTATATTTTGTGATGCAATATTGCATTGTTCCAATCTACGGTTGAAAATAATTTAATTTTCCTTTTTCAAAATAGCGCCAATTTCTGGGTGTGAGACACAGCATATCACCAGTTGTGAGACGGTGTCAACACCCATCTGGGCAGCATAAAAAATACGACTTTGCAGGCATACGATTTAAATGTTGTTTTGATTTTTTTTCTAATATTTTTGGGCATGTCAAGTGGAAAAAAGTAAATTGATTCAGAAGAAATCAATTTTAATGCTCTTGTTGAAGCTATTAAATTGTGTTTATTTGATAGTCATATTTTGGCGAATAAATATTATTATTTAGTATATAATAATATATATTATTAATATATTTAATTATTTCTACTAAACATAACGTTTTATGTCAAACTTATTAAATTTTAGCAATTTTTAATGAGTGTCTCACAACTGGAGACATTTTTTTTTGTTGAAAAAAGCGATGTGCTCGGAAAATGTATCGTAAAATTTTTTGAGTTCATCGAAACACTATACTTTCTTTTAATAAAAGTTGCGTATTTCTGTTACCTTTCGAACGGTGTATTTTATTAACAATTTCGTTTACCCGTTTACAATTTACGGGTCAAAAATGAAACCCGTCTCACAACTGGAGACTCTCCCCTATTATTCTTAAAAATAATTGAATTATTATGATGAATATTGTTGTTTTTGAAAAAAATTGAAACTTTGCCAAGAATTTTATTAAAATTTTTGCAAGTAATTGAATTTCGGAGAAGAATTTTATTATTTACAACAATAATTGAAATTTTGACAAGAATTTTTAAATTTTTAAATTAATTTTAAATAAAATAAATAATTTTCGAAGATTATAATTTGAAACCTTTTAAAAATTCAATTATTTCAAACAAATTATTAGAAAATTTTACGAGAATGGAATTATTTAAATACAAAAATAAATTTATTGAATATTTTAATGTATCTTAAAATTGAATTCTTTGGAAGAATTTTTATAAAATTTTTAAGAATAATTAAATTTTTCGAGGAATTCGATTTGAATTTTATTAAAATAAAAATAATTGAAATTATGCGATAAGTTTTATTATTTATGATTGAAAATAATTGAATCTCTGTAAAAAATGTTATTATTTATTGAAATAATTGAATTATTGCGAAGAAAAAAAATTTGTTAATTGAATTCCTGTGAAATTTTTATTATTTTTGAAAATAATTGAATTTTTGACAAGAATTTTGTCAAAATTTTTGTTTAAATAATTGAATTCTTTGGGAAATTTTTATTAAAATAGTAGATATTAAAAATCATTGAATTAAGGAAATTTTTTGAAAATAATCGAAATTTTGCGAAGAATTTTATTACAATTTTTGCAAATAATTGAATTTTCGAGAAGAATTTTATTATTTACAATGATAATTGAAATTTTTGAACATAATTGAATTTCTGCGAAGAATTTTATTATACTTTTAAAAATAGTTAAATTTCTGTAATCATTTGTAACTTCTCCAAAATTCAATTTTCTTAGTGTTTTTAACTAAAATTCTTCTCTAAATTCATTATTTTTAATAATTAATTAAATGCATATGAAAAAATATAACTTAATTCGGAAGAATACTTTCCCTGACTATTCTCTGAATTCCTTGACCTGTGGCAACCCTGTGACTCAGTCTTAAATTCAACAAAGAAAATATCCATTTTCGTAAATTTGTTTTAAACTCAAAAAAATAAGATTTTCTCTCTAGGGTGGATATTTTTTCGGTTACAGTTTCAAGTAATTATTTCAATGTCCATCGGTATAAAAATCCTATTTCAAAAAAAGAAAACACTATAAATAACCAAAATTCACCGAATTCCAATTTTCGATTTAAAAACGTAATAATTTCGATTATTACAATCACAAAAAAATTATTTTAAGAAAGAATTTTTGTAACTTTCTTTCTTCTTCCCTCGTTTCGAGTAATAAATCTTTTTATCATCAGTGAATATTGCTAAAACTATAATAATATAACACAATCTGTATATATTTTTTCAAATGTGTTAAATTTTCCAAAAAAAAAAAAAATAATAATCACTGATATAAAAAATTGTAACATATATATTAACAATTGAGATCCTATGTGAAAACAATTTTAGATTTAATAAAAAAAAAATGAAAACTATCTTTTTCATCTCGTGAGAAAAAAAAATTATTTTCACAAATTAGTAAGAATAAATGATAAAGATTCGAAGCATAATAATCAAATAATAAATCGTCAGGGTCAGTGATGTTTTAAATTTTTATTCACTCCACGAATATTTGGTTGAGCCAAAGAGAAATTTTTTTAAATAAATATCAAATTTTGTAGAAAATTCTTTTTTTCTAATATTAAGAATTAATTAATTAAATGGATGAAAAAACTTTCTTCAATCATTCGATTTAAAATTGATTTCAAATCGCAAAGAAAAATACCTATATTTTAAAAAGGTCGATAATTTTAGAAAAAGGAATCTTCAGAAAGAAACGAAATTTTAAATATTAGGGAGAAAACTTTGTATGAAAATTTATTTTTCAGGAGTTGAATAATAAAGTGGAAATTCTTAAACTTTTCGCAAAAAAAATACGTACTTATTTGCGTATTTAATTATTTTAAAATACAAAAAGAGAGGAAGAGACTATATTTTTCGCAAATTTCCATTTGCGTCCTTTTTTACAAAATAAAAAAAAAAGCTTAAAATCAACTTTTCCTCAGGGTGATTTTTTCCAATAAAAGAAAAATGTTATTAGTTTTTCCACGACTCTGATTAAGCTTAATAATTAAGATCTAGAATTTTCTTTTAAAATGAAATTCAAAGTTGAATGGCTTGGCAATTTGTCAAACAATATTGTAAAACTTATCGAATATTTTAAGCATCGATTATTATTATTAGTTAATAGAAAAAAAACCTGTATAATTTTATTCTTAAGCGCTTAAAAACACGAATTTTTCTAGTTTTAATTTATTTTACATTTGTTGCATAATTTTTAATGCAAATAATTTAATTTTAATCGAAAATTATACAATAATTATATAATAATTATATAATAATAATTTAATTATAGTTGAAGATTTATATGTAGTGCACTTTAATATTTGTTTTACATCTTTTTCTCTTTTTTGTTTTTACATCTTAAAACATGAGAATATAAAATATTTAAAGTGAATGACGATTAGAAAATGATGCAACTGCCTTATACTTGAAAATAGTTACTTATATACTTTTATATAAAAAAAAACAAACAAACCAGTTGTCAACATATTCCTGTATGCCTGGTTGACCGTAAGATTACGCTTAGTTTATATACAAGAATGCGAGGTTTTTCTCACAAGTGGTACAAACGTTTAAACAGCGTTTACTTCACGTTCCTTGCCAAGCCAGCATGTTGTAGAATATATTTTATAAATATATACGTTTTTCTATATTTATCACTACAATAAAAATATGAATCGTCAGCTGTACAAAAATGATCCAACTATTTAAAAAAAAAAATTTCCATAAACGACTGAATATCAACTGATTTTATTCCTTCAAAATATTTTACACCCTAATGGCATTTATTTAATTAAATTCAATTATTTAATCAAATAAATTAATGAAATTTAAAATTTAGTTAATGGAAGAAAAAAATTTACTTTACGAATTAATTCTTCAGAGTAGCAAAAAATTATTTGAAATTTTTGAAAATTAAAATTAGATTAATATCTGAAATTATAAATGTTTAAATAAAAATAAAATCAAATGAAAAAAATGACGAAATAAAAAGTAAGAATAAAACTACAGCCGATGAATCATATAAATATTGACGCAGACGTAGACGTCTCGTGATTTTTGGAAGACTGGACAATATTTTCCCG